AATAATGGGAGACATGAATGCCAATTGACTTGCATGTGCTTCATTACAGCTTAAGAAGAGTTGTAAAAAAAAAAAGCGGAATGGATTTTCCATTAAGGTCGCTAGTCCCAAATACATTGTTCTGGGACTGGAATGACAGATCCCACAGTGGAATGACAGCCCCCCGGGGTAGCAGATGTGTTCTGAGGGTGGAGTGACAGGCCCCACAGTGGAATGACAGTCCCTGGGGGTAGCAGTAGTGTTCTGGGACTGGAATGACAGGCCCCACAATAGAATGACAGCCCCTGGGGATAGCAGGAGTGGTGTGGGACTGGAATGACAGGCCCCACAGTAGAATCACAGCCCTTGGGGGTAGCAGGAGTGTTCTGAGGGTGGCCCCACTGTGGGGCCTGTCATTCCAGTCTCAGAACACTCCTGCTACCTCCAGGGGCTGTCATTCTACTGTGGGGCCTGTCATTCCACCCTCAGAACACATCTGCTACCCCAGGGGCTGTCATTCCAGTCCCAGACCACTCCTGCTATCCCCAGGGGCTGTCATTCCACTCTGGGGTCTCTCATTCCACTCCCAGAAGAGTCCTGCTACCCCCAGGGGCTGTCATTCCACTCTGGGGCCTGTCATTCCAGTCCCAGAAGACTTCTGCTACCCCCAGGGGCTGTCATTCCACTCTGGGGTCTCTCATTCCAGTCCCAGGACACATCTGGTACCCCCAGGGGCTGTCATTCCACTGTGGGGCCTGTCATTCCAGTCCCAGAAGACTTTTGCTACCCCCAGCGGCTGTCATGCCACTCTGGGGTCTCTCATTTCAGTTCCAGGACACATCTGGTAACCCCCAGGGGCTGTCATTCCACTCTGGAGCCTGTCATTCCACTCCCAGAACACTCCTGCTACCCCCTTGGGCTGTCATTCCACTGTGAGCCTGTCATTCCACTCTCAGACGACATCTGCTACCCCTATGTAGCATCGTATCAGTTGGCCTCTTTGCATTGATGTACCCCAATTTTGGATAAGGTTACAGACATTTTGGGTTTGTTTATCTGACCAAGAGACCTTAAGGCACATTGAGGTCTCCTTCTGGAATTCTTCAAGGCCCTTTGCATCTGTATAGAATGGGGAGCTTCCCAGATAAGGTGTGATTTCTGGCATTACAAAGGTGGATGCTGTTTGGGAACATACAGAGCCATTGCAATGTTTTTTCAATGCATAGCATTGGGCCATAAATTGTCTTTCAGGATAATTAAACAACAAAGAAGATCACAGTTGACTAAATGGTTTCAGGTTTAGGCACATTCCTGTCTTCCTGTTTCCTGAGTGAACTCAAGGTCTTTTCACACAAACAGCATTGCTTCTCTAAAATATTCTACTACATATCATGCAACTTTATATTTCTCTGCTAAACTAAGGTTAACAGATTAACCAATCAGTCGTGGAAGCAGTGACACATTCCTGGGATCCAAGATCACCTGCTTCTTTTCATGCATCTGCTGGAGACAGATCAAATCCATAACCACTATAAGAAATTAGTCTTTGATGGCAATCTTGTATGTACCCTTGGGAGTGTTTACAGGATTGAACGTCATGGGACTAGCCTCTGCGTAGACTTGCTTAGGCTTTGTGGTGACAAACTAATATTACTATACAGCTGGACTTACAATTCCCATTATGATTATTTCCTCGTGTTGACAACCTTGGGAGAGAAGGGTTAATTTTAGAAATGCTGGTTTTCTTTTCAGCTGGGTGGAAACACATTTTGAGGTGGGACCGTCAGCCACATATGAGGCTTCCTAGTTCTGATTCAAGCAAACTGTTCCTGTCCCTCCTGGTTTCTGACAAGATGGAGGCAGAAGAGTCGGACTCTTGTGGTACGGCAGCTCTTGTTACCGAACCGCAGTTTACTCAGCTATTCAGGTAAGGTTCTAGCGCATAGGAAGTGGAACAAGATGTATGTTCTATGGAAAGACCATCTTCTGTCTGTATAAAATCGAGTCCCCACTTCGGTCACACTCTAATGTGACTAAGAAACGGAGCCCGAGATTAGTCTGTGTATATATAGGAATATAATGAATATATGAGTACATGTCAGAGATATAAAAATCATACTCATTGATCCCTAGCCCTACACACCTTTCCGGGTGCCTGCCAAGTGTTCTTGGGAAGTAGGCGGGGCCAGGTAGTACATCAAGATAAAACAATGGTAAAGCCAGTTTGGTGTAGTGGTTAGAAGTGCGGACTGGTCTGGGAGAACCGGGTTTGATTCCCCACTTCTTCACAGGCAGCTGCTGAGGGCAGGGTATAAATCCAATCTCTTCTTCTAAAGTGAATCAAGATAAAAACAATGCCAACAATAAACAGTTTAAATAAAACAATTCACAGATGGCATTATCGGATTTCTCAACTGTGTCACTGCTTCCTAGAAAAAGTTTATATAGGATTCTATTGTATTTTTTTTTAAAAAATTGAATCCATAAGCAGCCTTGAGCTATGGGCAAAGCTAGGTATAAATATTTCAATAAATAAAATGCAGTACCTTGGCTTTTTGAGCCCACTGTGTGTGTTTTCCCTTCTATAGTCTGTCAGTTTCTTTTCATGCATCTGCTGGAGAGAGATCAAATCCATGACCACTATAAGAAATTAGTCTTTGATTGCAATCTTGTATGTACCCCTGGGAGTGTGTACAGGAATTAACGTCATGGGACTAGCCTCTGCGTAGACTTGCTTAGGCTTGTGCTGTTTGTTTTTGTGGTGACAAACTAACATTACTATACAGCTGGAGTTACAATTCGCATTATGATTATTTCCTCGTGTTGACAACCTTGGAAGAGAAGGGTTAATTTTAGAAATGCTGGTTTTCTTTTCAGCTGGGTGGAAACACATTTTGAGGTGGGACCGTCAGCCACATATGAGGCTTCCTAGTTCTGATTCAAGCAAACTGTTCCTGTCCCTCCTGGTTTCTGACAAGATGGAGGCAGAAGAGTCGGACTCTTGTGGTACGGCAGCTCTTGTTACCGAACCGCAGTTTACTCAGCTATTCAGGTAAGGTTGCAGCGCATAGGAAGTGGAACAAGACGTATGTTCTATGGAAAGACCATCTTCTGTCTGTATAAAATCGAGTCCCCACTTCGGTCACACTCCAATGTGACTAAGAAACGGAGCCCAAGATTAGTCTGTGTTGGCAATGGGGTGAGGTTGTATAGATAAGAACATAAGAGAAGCCAATGTTGGATCGGGCCAATGGCCCATCCAGTCCAACACTCTGTCACACAGTTGCCAAAAACACCAGGTGCCATCAGGAGGTCCAGCAGTGGGGCCAGGACACTAGAAGCCCTCCCACTGTCATCCTGTCCCCCCTCCAAGCACCAAGAATACAGAGCATCCCTTGCCCCAGACGGAGAGTCCCTATCTATACCTTGTGGCTAATAGCCACTGATGGACTTCTGCTCCATACGTTTATCTAATACCCTCTTTAAGCCGTCCATGCTTGTAGCTGCCGCCACCGCCTGTGGCAGTGAATTCCATGTGTTAATCACTCTTTTGGACTGATTCTGAGTAGGACTGATTCTGAGTGGTTTGGAGTCACCAGAGGCTAAGATCTGGCCCACACCCCAGTGTCTCCCTTGCTGAAGTAAGCCTTTTTCTATCCTTCCCAGCTCCCCCATTTTGTAGGTTCCCCCAGCACACAGGCTCATTGGACTTCCCTTGTTCTGTCATTTTCCATTTGGCTTTGAAGTCAGAACTCTCACCCACTGTCAGTTGAACTGGGCTGCACTGCCACACTGTAGTCTTGACACTGTCTTGACTATGTTCCTAGAATGTTTTCTCTTTAAGGCAGTCTTAGCAGAGCTGTGAAGTAGAAAAGCAGACTGAAAAGTCTTCGTTTTTTCAGGCTCCTAAACTACATTTATCACTCCTTCGTTTGAAAACATGTGGATACAGGGAATGCGAGAGATAAAGAGAACACACTTTCCTAGGATTAAAAAGCAGTTTTGCATATCTTTTTCAACTCTATCTTTCTGTTGGTGTTTGTCATCAATCTCTTAACTGAGTTGTTTAAATAAAAACATAATATGTGTCTTATGTCCACATGTTTTCAAATGAAGGAGTGATAAATGTTTAAGAGCCTGGAAAAATGAAGACTTTTCAGTCTGCTTTTCTACTTCACAGCTCTGCTAAGACTGCCTTAAAGAGAAAACATTCTAGGAACATAGTCAAGACAGTATCAAGAATATTTGCATCAAGATTTTGTATTTACTGGCTTTGCCCATATTTATGAAATGTACTTTATATAAGGATGAATGTTGTCTAGAATAAGAAATGTGCATAGTAAACATTATAAAAAGTATAACCAAGTGTGTTAAAGTTATAGAATACTGGTTTTCTTCGGCGAGTTCATTTTTCCCAATTGTATTTACACTGAAGCCTGTCTTGTTTTTGATACTGTAAAAAGGTAAAGGTAAAGGTTTCCCTTGCTCGAAAGCCAGTCGAGTCCGACTCTAG